CATGGACCACCCCCAAGAGGTGCTCCAGTGGCACGCCGTTTTGGCTTGCCATGGCTCGCTGTTGGGCGGACCGAAATGACGTTGTACCATCCATACCGCACAGACAGCACGGTATAGCGCGCGCTATCTCTGCTGGTGTGAACAGCCTCAAAGACAATGACGCCAGACCAACTGCAGACTAGTACTTAACAACACACTACCCTAAATGATCTCTTGATCTCTTGATTGGTCAGTTTGGAAGGGGTTTAGTAGTGTGGTAGAGCAGGAAAAAAATACATGGGGGCTCGGGGCAAATTAGCCCCCGAAATGCCTATAAGAGCCCCCGAAAGTAAAAAAAGAGCCCCCAAAATTTGCACAGAGTTCAATGCAAAACAAATTAAAGAGTGTTATTTTCATGCAAGCAAGCTTGAAAAGTAGTCCCCGAAATGTTGTAATCGATTTTTTTCCCTGTGGTAGAGGTATTTGGGGATCAGAATCATCATCAATTTTTACCATAATACGAAGAAGCACTTTTTAAACTAAGCTTCATTTGTTTCTAAGCGTGTTAATTAAAATTGTATACATGTAGTTTTCATCCGTGGTACCTCATACATGTACGCATGAAATCATGTCTCATTTCGGTTTGAAAAACATTTGACAATGATATTCCCTATCTGCCAGAATATAATAAATTAATACCCTTTAACATTGCCCAGTGCCCAGAATCATACTTTCTTCTTATGAAGTGTATATGTAAATGTACATATATATGTACAGCAAGTCTGCCCAAGTTCTCATCTTTCCAAATCATCCACCAATCCTGCAATAAAAAAAAAATCATCTCTGACAGGTTTTTCAAACTCATATCCATCCGCTCAGATGAAGGCAAATGACCGGGGAAAGAGGTTGCTCGACCCCTTTCTCCACTCTCCTCCATTATGACTCAGCCTGTCTACCAAATTCATTTCGCTAATTTGACCCAATTGCCTCAAAATTACCTCTCTACCCAGAAAAGGGGAGTAGTCTATTTCGGTCTGAAAATACAAAGTGCTGTTTTTAAGTAAAATAAATAATGCAACCTACAGCAAAATTGATCTTCATGCACAAGATAAGGGTACGGTATTTAAGTGTAAGACCTACAACAGGACAAGTCTTTAGAGCTTTGTTAGTAAATATTATAAGTTGTACAGAGGTTATGGTATGATGATATACCTATATTGTACATACAATGTACATGATTACTTGTAATTTTGAGAGAGGAAAGAGCCTTAATAGTAGGCTTAGAGGAGGAGAGAGAATGGAGAAAGGTGAATAGAGATTTACTGTACATGTAGAAAGTAAGAAGGGAGGGAGAGAAAGAGAGAGAGGGAGAGAAAGAGAGAGAGAAAGAGAGAGAGAGAGAGAGAGAGGGGGGGGGGGATTGGGAGGAAAATGGAGAAGAGGGACAAGAGAATGAGGAGAAAGATGGAGCTCATGGAATCATCATACATGTAACATTTTTTTTAAATATACAGTGAGGAGTAAAAACTGGAGATTATAGTGGGGATAAATGAGCACTCTCTCCATCCCAATATCAACCCCCCCCCCCCCCATGACTTACTGATTGTATGTACGCTAAAGCGTCATTTCTAATTTTAACAGTTTCTTGAAATAATTGGCACAAAACAGAACTTTTTGGAATGATCTATGGGTCAACACCCCCTCCCCTGAAAAAGTAAACAGTTTTTTCATTTGAGAAAAAAAACTTTGTTGTTGTTGTAGAAATGTGTACATGTACTCTCTTTCGAGACATCTCACTCACCCCCCCCCCCCCCTACTGTCCTCTCCTTCCCTAAAATGAGTAAGATTATTTTGATTGCGTACACAGTCCTTCATGTTTTCCCCATCCACTATCTCACTAGCTAGAGTCATCTCACAGTTTAGATTGATTAATTATCATTAACTCCCTTGAGATGAACTATTCAATCTATCTTACGATTGAGGCTCATTAGAAATCCAATCAAGAGCGACACAAAGAGAGGTTAACTTCTTTCATCAACAGAATACTTACAGATGTATGCACATGTACTGTATGCAATCTAGTACAATTATAATAACTTTGCACAGATTCCTCTATTTAAATTCAATAAAATTCAGAATAATTACATATTGGAATTAATCTAATATCACTATTTATCCCATGTCTACAAATTAACTATGGCTTGCTTGAAAACAACACTCTTTAATCTGTTTTGCATTGAACTCTATGCAAATTTTTGGGGGCTCTTTAATGACTTTCGGGGGCTCTTTTGGGCATTCTGGGGGCTAATTTGCCCCGAGCCCCCATGTATTTTCACTGCACCAACTTTTTATCTACTATGGATTGAAAGTTAGACTGCTACATCTGAAGCATACTGTATGCCCATTGTAAATTGTACATTGCGGCAAAAGTCGACTGTGATGTGGCAGTCCACTCTCTGTCCGATCAGTCGACTAAAGCAGATACATTGTAAAGAGTTAATTTCTTTCACGAGCCCAGTGAGAGCTAAAAAAACATTCTCTGGGTACATCATACATGTATTATTAGATTCTCTCGACCCCCCTTGTCATCCCACATTCCTCCCCACCCACATCCATACACCCACATTACTACTCATACTACTACAGAACTAATGTACTCACAATACAACCTTTCCAAATCACAACACACCGCCTACATGTACATTGTTGTCTTGGATAAATGAAACAAACAAGACTGGTATTTAGACTAGTAATCAACCCAATTACGTCATGCACAGTATGGCTGCCTCAGGGCCCACAATACCAACATAATGACTGTGCAGCATGTTGAATCTTGATAATATCTAGTGGTAAATTTAACCTACTTTCATTTGATATAAGTCACAGGTGGACTTGAATGTAAATTTTCAGATATTTCAGGAAGCAAGTAATACAGGAAAACCACACAGGGTACAAAAGATAACACATTGCAAATACACCTGATACAATAACATGTACTGTACATCTACACTGATCAATACAAATGTTATGTGTTTAAGAGATTGGAACTGTCGTTTCAATTTTGTCATCACTATTAGCAAATGATAATTTTTTTTTCAGTACGAGTACGTGGAGTCCTGCACCACACTTTCCTGTTTATGTGGATGATATGTGGTTTCATGTAATGAGGTACCCGAGTACACTCCCAGGCTTACAAGCGAATACCTGAATATTCGGACACTATGTTTTTTTATAATTTTTTTGAATTTTTTTGAATTTTTTTTTGTGTGAATTTTTTAGATCTAAAAAATTCAAAAAAATTCAAAAAAATTATAAAAAAACATGGTGTCCCAGGTTCTGAGTGGTGAGTTTGACAGTGCTTGAGTTGGGAAACATTTTTACCAACGGCACCATGCCAGCAGCCGCCGCTCACCCAGGCACGGGTAAGCGTCGGCCTGGACAGATTTTTTTTTTTTTTTTTGCGGCCGAATATTCGGGTACGAAAAATCGTACCCGAGTAGTTGTCAACCGTGCGGGTACTCAAGCATTCGACTACACGTCGCAGCCCTACTGTACATGTATCTTATGGCTACCATTGCTCCGAGGTCAATAACTCAATATCCTATACTACAAACAATCTATACTTTCTTTTCAGCCCTAGATTAAACACTCCACGTAACCCTGACTCTAAACGTAATCTTAATACCTTACCTGTATTGCAACCCAAAGGCTGACACTAAACCTACATACAGTATGTAAAATTAACCGCAATTGCAACCCCAGCCTTGACCATAATCCTAATCTAAACCCTATTGCAACCCAAACTCAAACCCTCAAACCAACCCTAATTGCAGCACCCTATAAACCCTATAAACCCCTAATACTGTTTTCACACTGGCAATATTTGCTTAAAGGGAAAGTCCACCCCAAAAATAAGTTTGTTTCGATAGAGGCAGAATAATAAGAAAATCAGGTGAGTGAAAGTTTGAGCAAATTCTGAATGAAAATAAGAAAGTTATGAATTATTGAAGTTGTGATCAATCAAATACAAATTGGCAACTCTGTGACTTATTATACGAGCTCTCCTTCATTTGCTTTGTGCATAATATTCCATAAAATCATGTTTTCTTTGTTATTGATGACGGAATATAAATTTGTTCCTTGCAGGGGGAGTATAGAAACATATTTGCAATTATTATACTTAGGGTGCATGTATGGTTGAAATTTTTCTTGAGGGAAAATGAAAATTTTAGATTTTTTTAGTACTGAGCAAATGGAAGTTGAGCTCGCATGATACGTCATAGAGTTGCCAATTTGTATTTGATTGATCACAACTTCAATAATTCATAACTTTCTTATTTTCATTCAGAATTTGCTCAAACTTTCACTCACCTGATTTTCTTATTATTCTGCCTCTATCGAAACAAACTTATTTTTGGGGTGGACTTTCCCTTTAACCCCGTACTGTAGGTGGGGTTAAGGGGGGGGGGGGGGTCTTAGCCCCACCTATAGTACGGGGTTAAGCCTATTCCACTTTCTGTTCAGACTGGCTAAAGTTGGCTAACCCCACCTATAGTACGGGGTTAACTAACCCTGCAAAATAGCAGGGCTAACTCCGCAATTGTGGTGCTAACTCCTGCTAACCCCGCAATTGCGGTGCTAAGCAAATGAATGAGAACAGAAATGAAAAATAGTCCGGTACTACGCAATGGAGCGTATCGCAGCTGGCCAGATGCGAAGTATGTCCAATCATAACATACACGATATCCGGGGTTAACGAAATGCAGTGAGAACAGCGGGAATTTTCTTATTCCGGAATAGGCGCTAGTACGGGACTAAAAACAGCGAGTGTGAAAAGCCAAAAAAATAGTCCGGGGTTAAGGATAGTACGGGGCTAAGCAAAGTACGGGGTTAAGCAAAACCAGTGTGAAAAGAGTATTAGTAACCTCTATCTTCTACAAAATATTAAAGGCCAAGAGCAATTATTGCAGGAGAAAATGTTGATCATCATGAAATGTGGCAGAAAGCTTGCAGTAACTCACCTTGCGTTAGGGTCTAGGACCACTGAAAGGAGAAGTAGAACTTCTAGTGAGATGATCTTGTTGCCAAGGCGATGGGAACAGTATTCCAGAACTTGTTCCAAACGGGCCAGGAGATTGACCTGGGAGAGATGAAGGGGAGAAGAAGAGAAGGAAACAGAAAGAGAAGTGAGTGGAAGGGGTAGGGTAGAAGGCACAGGAGACGTGTCCGAATCATTGGTTTATTCAACTGCCAAAAAAAGGATATTGATCATATCATTCAAATGTGTATGTACAGGTTGTAGATGTACAGTACATGAATGTTTAAATGTGATTTTTATTTTGTTATTTTAAAAAGAAAAAGAACAATGACAAAGAAGAAATTAATCATATGAAGACTATAACAGGAAAGTAATATTGAACAGGAACTACAATGCTCTCTCCCATTACATAGGTCTACAACTATTTAAAGGTTACACACTACAAAGTATTATGAAACAATGTCTTTTACTGTATGTATATTTTTCTTATCTGTATTGTATCTACAAACCCCTGTACATGTGAAATGTGAAATCAATAAACTCAAAACTCAAAGTCACTGAAAACACACAGGGATTATGAGTAATATTGTCCTTTACTAATAACATACTGTAAAATGTAGCACTTGTAAGTCTCCCAATTAAGGCCTATTTTTAGGACTCCCCAGCAGTACATGTACATTTACATGTACATGACTACATGCCATCATAACACATCATTTCTATGATGAGTAAGGTACAAAAACACACCAGCAAGAATGTCCTGTGTGCCAAGGATATCAAGAAATCATTAACTGGATTATTGATAGTTCGAGACAGTAAGACTTGTAAGACACTGAGAATAACAATAGCCAATGGCGAGAGATATGTAAAGTCACTACTACATGTAGCCTAGGCGAAACTCCTAAATTTTAATATGCTTTTATACTTAATCTTTGTTTTCAACCATCTGTCACTTTATCGTTTGGAAAGTTGTCTTGATAAAGCACTTTCTTTCTTTAATGTAAAATAAATCAAAGAATGGAAAATATCTTCTGCCACTCAAGTAGAAATTATGATTGAGGGCCCGCGGTCATCAGGAAGAGCGTTATCAATAATGATAATGTTGCTGTTAAATGTTTTTATCATCATTATCATTATTTTCATCACCTGTTTACCGGTATGTCATTCCAATTTTGCTCTTACCGGTACTAACATGAAATTTTTAATCACTGTCTTTTTTCATTTAATAAATTAATGTAGACAAATAAAAAGATGGTATTGAATTGAATAATGTGAATTGAAGTGAACTATTAAAAGGAGGAAAGACAATATCATATTCTCATCTTCTATCCTATTTTCATCCTATAATTCAAGACATCAATGTCACAAGTCGAAGCCCCAAGACAACCCGACCTACATACAATCTGTGACTCTACGTGTAATTCAATTTATTCTAACCTAAAAATGTCACATCAGCTGTCAGATAAAGTGGCTGGAGAGATATTCTTAAAGGCACGGATAGAAATTCAATATTTGTTGACCGCTATAACTGGACAACAACCTAATCTGTCAAATCTATTTCTTAATTTGGAATGAATGTAATGATGTACATGCACAAATGACAAAACATAACAGGCTCATTTTTTTGGTCAAATCATCTTTTGCTTCTCATTTTGTGTGTCTTATATTACACACAGATACATACATTTGTACAGTGTAGGTGCAGTCTACAGAGATCCTTATTGCGCAGCTACTATTTGATCCATACTTCCCATTCTTTTAACAAACACAGACCAACAACACCAAAAACATGTATTAAACTGTCATATACACCTGTAGTTAGGAATATAAACTGGACATGTTGTTCATGTAAATGTAAATAATAGTAAATTATAAATGTTCTATTAATTTGATATTTGTAGTTCTGAGTTCTCATTGGTGTTTTTTTTCCCTTCATTCTATTTCTTCTTTCTTTTTCTTCAAATTATAATAAGATGTTTGGCAAATGACATTTAATCGTACTCTTGAACATTCAGCGTAAGTTTTGTTTGATTCTGGGAGAATTCATTTTCTTTTTTTTTACCAGAACTCAAGTTTATCTTCAATCTTGTGAAATAACTGTTCTCTTTTTATCAGGCATTCCGTGTTCCTTCAAGATCATTCCATACGTCATCATTTTCCAGGGTAAAGGAAAAATTCCCTGAGGTTTATTATTTCAATCAATTCAATGCAAAAAACAAAAGAAATAATCAAAGTGAAAGTGATTTTGGGGGCATGAGTAATAACAAAGCTGGAACTTTAAGACCAATTTTCCACCCACACAAGGTTCTGATCCCGGACTGAAATTTGATGCTCTAATATTTTTTAGGGAAAAGACCAACATCGGTAGCACCCGTTCGCTACACCTCTGAAGGTCTCAAGTTAATACCAATTTCTAAACATTAGCTGTTTTTTGTTTATTCCAGGAATGTATACAGAGATACAGTTAAAGATGAAGTTGAGTTCTGGTCATGCCATTGCATTGTGAAAGAAACGATGTGGAATCAACCAGAAAAGGTTGATCATCTAGCATATAAGAATTTGTGTGTATTGCAAGGTTCTGGAATCATCAAAATGATAAGAAATTCGACCAAGTCTTGGTAAAGTTACAAAAACTGTACACAGAAAGATGTATATGGGACTACACGAACACGTGGCGTAAAAATCCTACCCCCGAGTTTTACGATGTTACATGACATATTTAGAATATGAAGGCATTTGAAGAGCCATGCTTTTCAGGGAACATCTCTTATCTGATGTTCTTCCACACTTGCATAATAAGAATCATAACGCTCACAAATTATTTTTCATCTCTTCCCAGAACTTAACCTTCTCTTTTTAACATTGTAATATTGGCTTAAACTGGTTTTCATATCAATTCAAGTCATAGAAAACCAAATGTATAATAAATACCTGTAATCAATTAAAAACAAATAGACAAAAAAAGAAGGTGGAGAGAAGAAGGACAAGAAAGAAGAAAAAAAGGAGAAAAAAGGAAAAAAAAAGAGGGAAAAATGCTGAACAACAATTATCAAAGGAGGAGGAACTGATACTGAAAAAATGATAAAATGTAGGAAGGAAAGGAAGGAACAAGCATACACATGTACAAATTGAAAATTTGCTTTCACAGGATGTTTTCGGATACATCTACATGTACGTGTGTGTACATGCTATAGAACTGACCTCAATCTCTGTTTCCTCTGGGCTGTCTTTCTCCTTCTTGTTCAGTTCTGTATCCAGACGTACCATAGCATGGTAGAGGACCTCATCTACTGCAGCCTGCTGCTTAGCAACTGCATCCGATTCACCATCTGTATTGGGCAACGAAGACACAACACAACGGTGTTAATTGGAACCAACCTTAAGATTTTCCCAAACATGTTGTTCAGAAAAAATAACTAGATCAAACTTAGGCCATTAAAAAAAATATACATGTTTAGCGTCCCCACCCGCTTCCTGTTAAAAAAAAAATGTTAAAGAAAAAACAAACATGAAAAACACTGCTAAAATGGATATATTTCTGATTTTTTTTTATAATTCTGGCGGCCATCTTAAAAATAGCCTGACTGTCAGGGAAAATGTACAGAGCGGCCATTTTGAAGAAAAAAAAAGGGCCTCCTTCGTATTTTTCAAAAAGGCAGGACGCTAACATGTTTTTTAAAAATTTTATTTGGCCTTACACCTGTACATGTAGCTTTGTCTTTTCAGAGACAAAAGGGCATTAACTCTGTCTAACAGTACAACAAATCCTTCTGGCTCCAAACATATATGCATTCATTCTCATCTCGGGTTTGCTAGTTTTACGTACAGTACTAGTGGTGTTGACAGAGAATTTTTACAACAACCTGAAAGGGAGATGTACATGTTAGTGTTAAAATGTATGCTCTGGTGAGAATTGCTCCATGGTTGACTTTTGGTTTGATCATCAAAGAACTCCGGCTCCAATGCTACTGTTAACGCCGTTATTTTCGCGCTGAGCGGCCCCAAAACATATTAGCTGATTCTTAAAATTTTCATTGCATGCCAGTTTAAGCCGATCTTTGCGCGAAATCCGTGAAAACTAATGTACCGCTAATATTTCTACCTTTACAGTAAGGATAGTGTACAGTAGTTCAGTTTTAATAAATATAGGGTAAGAGCTAGTATTACTATTTACTAACCATCTCTAAACCTAAGCTACATAGATGTATGTATTTAATAAAAGCTGATGTTAGAATTTGATATTTTGGCTTTTTTTTCTGCGGAAATATTCCTGTTTCTCACATTAATCAAACATGGGTGGGACAGAGATGAGCATATGATAAGGAAAGAGAGAAGAAAGTACCAAAAGGTTAAGCGGTGAAAGAGTGAGGAGAAAAAGAGAGAGAAATGAAAGTAGAAGCAGAAACTTTGGACATACAATGTACTACATGTACATGTACATGTACATACACTGTACGTGAGTGGGAGAGAGAGAGAGATCATACTGTAAAACTGCAATTACAAGGTGTTTTCCCTTTAACTGTTTTTGACAGGCAATACCTATTGCAAATCCTTGTGGTTCAATTCCTAATCCTATATAATCAGCATCAGGGATTCCTACAGTCATCTGTGCCCTATTTATCAGGTCATTGTCTTCCTGTATGGATTCAAGACTTTGAATGATCCAAGTTAATCCCCTTCCTAGACAAATACCTAGCCAGGGTTTTGTAGCAAATATAATCCAGACATTGAATACACAATAGTTGTTTACCTTCCAGATTATAGAGGTAGAGTGAGGGGGGGGGGGGGGGGGGGGGGGGGGGGTAGCATGAATAGTGATGTGGTTATATAACTGTCAATAATAGAGTATCACTGTCAGGCCTATTTGTGTACATTATACAGTTACTTGTTCCATTACAGGTAGCATGTACATGTACTCAATCCAAGTTTGAAGTTGCTTTATCTATTAAAACTAAAGTTTGAGCAATGTTGAATGTTCAGCACTTACAAGCTTTGCTCTTTCCATCAGTAGAGCACTTCCTCTTTCATCTGCTACACAAAATTGTTATTCCAATGTAAACAAACATAAAACAACAACAATCCTTTAAGTTTACATGTAATGTACATGTATGTATTAAATCTGTTATCCCTTTGCTTTTCAGAATGTAGAGATCTCCCCCGTTGATGTGAGCATTTAATTCTTATATCATACAATATATAATATATTCCCTCTAGTCTAGGATTGCCCCAAGATTATTATTTGTAAACACAAATGAAATTGAACAATTGAATGAATGAAAGAAAGCATGGAATAGATAAATGAATAAATATTGTTTAAAAAAATAAAGAAAAAAAAGAAGAAAAAAAAGAAAGAAAGAAAGAAAGAACCATCAATCTTACCCTCATCATGCTGGCTTTCCCTCTGAGATTTAAGGACCGTCGACAAAAGTGTTTCCACCTCCCCTCCCGTCTGGGTCAATCGACATTCGATGGGCAGGGTCATCTCATACCCCTCCCCTGTATCTTTGACCACGCCCCTCAACTTAGTTACAGATTCATCCACAAAGCAATCCATGGTCAATATAAGTCTCTAAAGGGTAGCAGAGGCACAGTCTCCAGGTTAAAATGACGCAGATATGAATTGCAAACGGTCGTCCTGCTTTTTAGTTGTGGTTTCTTTTTAGCACCAATGGATTTTAACAATGTTATGTTCCAAGAGCAGAGCGATTTGCTCAGATCTGTCAATTGTTGATGAAGGCAAACTTTAGAGGCCAGCAGACAGCAGAAGGCACGTTACGAAGCGTCTACTCATAGACCTTCGTGGTGAACACAAAGACACTCATCTTCATCTCCTTTTTCAATGCGTTGGGTCTATTCAACAACAAAAAAAGAGAAAAGGAAAGAAGGATTATGTCATGCTCTGTTACTTTACAGTTGACCTACGGTACATGGACATGTATTTACTGAAATACCTTGAGTACATGTATAATCATCTTTATAAAAAAAAAAATTATTTACATACAATTGTCCAATACTTATCCAAACAGTCTCATGTATACATTCAGGATCCCACATGTGCATACATGCAGTATCTTCAATTCAACTCTGTACGTGTATGTATACTTGGAATCACTCATGCTCAACAGGTCACATGACCTGCAAGTAAATCCTGAGATAGTCGATATACAAGGGTGTGTTTGTGATCATGTGGTTTAGATCTATGAGCCCAGCTGCACGTAGACACCCACATTTAGAGGTTATGAATCAAAATCAAACCAAAAAGGAAAAAGGAAGAAAAGAAAGGGGGACAAAGTTAACATGCAGCCTTTATAAATATTTCCTGGAAATTATTTAATAAAAAATATTTTGAGTCATCATGTACATGTACCTGTACATGTACTTGTTGAAATATCAAACGTATTGTACATGTACATGTATGTGTACACTGTAGGTATATGTTATTAAGAATCAGTTCTTACATCATTTTTTGTGCTTGTTATTACACTAAACATTTTACATGATGCTTACAGCTAGTGTACATAGACCATTTAAAAATAAAATCATGTTTAGCATCCCCGCCCGATTCCTTTTGGGGGGCTGCCTCCTTTTTTTTCATCTTTTTAATGAAAAAAGAAAGAAAAACATACTAAAATGATATATTTCTGATTTTTTACACTGTAGTACATTATAAAACCAAAGCGACTTTCATTTTGATACGAGGTGAAGTTAATGGCACCGATTTGTCGGCGTAAGTACTACATGTGCAGTAGACTATTTAATTCTAGCTACAGTACAGAAATAAGATCTCAAGGCAAAACAAAGCTCAGGCCAAAGCCACCAACGTGATACCAAAATAACCTCCCATGACACTACCGTTAGGAATGAAGAACAACTGTTTTGACGTCTAGTGTATTTTACTGCAAGTGCATATTGCATGGTATACAGTGTACATACATCACAAATGGACATGGAGCACAGCATCTATAGACATGTAATGGGGCATGCATGTCAAGCACTGAAAAAGTTTCTTTGGATTTTTGGAAAGCAAGAACACTGAACATGCAATAGGCCATTTTTTAGTATTTTCAATCATTATTGTGTTGCGGCAGACCCCTGCTACTTATTTCTTGTATAAGAGAGGCAAGACAAGACTACAGTGTACAGTACATGTATTAAAATCTGGGCTCATTCTGGGCAGAAAGTTAATGTTGAAAAACTTTACTTCAATTCTTTACTCTATGATTATTTAGGGTGCGTTCAAGCAATTTTTTGAAGCTAGAATCACAAACATGACTCACAAATCAAAACGCTGTTAAAAAAACAAGGTTACTCAAGAAACTCCAACTCTGAGGCTGCCCCTCCCCCTTCTTTAAGGCACTTTTCTTCTCTTTTTTTTGCATTATGTCACATGACTTTTCGGAAGTAAATAGCCTCCTCCCCCTTCCCCCAGAGACGCCAAGTTCAGCTATGCATAACATTTTCATGACTCGGCATGCGAGGGCGAGGGTATAACACACGTACATGTCTAGCGTTTTTTTCAAAATTGCACGTGCGTGTCGTGCGTGAGAGCGTTTTCAGACCCTCGAAATGCGTGACATCACGCATAATGCGTGACACTTGGTAGCTCTGTTCCCCCCCCCCCCAAAAAAAGAGCTTCAAATAATGTGTTTTTTATATCTTCTTTTTGTTCTTCTTCCAAATTCTTGGATCTGTTCCTGCTATTATTACACAACGGAAGACATTAGCTGCATGACGTTGTGCTTCCTATTATTCAACACCATACACCCTGTATGTACAGTATGTGCATGTATGTATTGCCTGTACTATTCAATGGTAGGGATTGGAACAAAAGGTCAGAGCATAATCAAGTTTTCCATGTAAATTACATTGCAGGCCTAGGCTATAGAGGGCTTACTGAGAATCATTAGCCTAGGCGCGTCTTCATCAGCTCGAGATTCGACCTCGAAACTTTAAATTCGACCTTGAGAAATCAGAGTCTTCGGTCTGGTGAAGACGCACTGGACAAATTGCCTGATATTTTGCCAAATAGTGGGATATTTTGCAAACTATCCCAAGATATCTTGGGATGACAATCCCGACCCAATATCCCGCTAATTGCAACCTCGGGCTGATGAACACGCATATTAGCTGGATAGTTTGCGATCGGGATAGTTCAAATAGCAGGATATTTGGCAATCTCAAGCTAGTGAAGACAGGCTTATTGGGTTATAAATAGTCACATCTGTGAAGACTGCAATAACAATGCAGCTGTCTATAACAATACAACTGTCTCCAACAATAATTGACAAATTCTTTTGATTGATGTGCAATGCTGAGATCTCTCTCTCTAGCTCTCTTAAGCTCTCTTTCTCTCTTTCAGTTTCACCCTCCCCAAACTGATGAATTGTTATTCTGTGCAACATTGATGTGTACTGTATCTAAAGTGCAGACAACAAATTGCATACAAGTACATGTGCGGTGTTTGAACATGCCCATGTCGGCCTACACTGCAGTTACAATGTACATGTTATGTATGTTATGTATGTTTGTCAACCCTCCTGTTTGATGTTCTCGATTAGTTACACCCAGCCTTACTTTATTCTACATATATTCTTTTGTCATGTGTAAATTTGCAATATTTGTTTGTTATATATTTGTAAAAATATCTGTACATGTACATTCCCAGTGTTGTTCTTTTGTTTTTTTACAACGTAATACATAATAAGGCTGCGACGAGTACTCAAATACTTGAGTACTCACACTGTTGACAACTGGCACTGTCCAGGTCTACGCTTACCCGTGCCAGGGAGAGCGCCGGCTGCCGGGATGGTACCATGGGTAAAAATGTTTCCCAGCTCAATCACTGTCAACTCACCACTCAGAAACTGGGACCGAATGTCTCGATTTCTGTTTGGACTCGGAGGAAAATGGACTAGTCTGTCATCTTTGGTTTTAAAAACAGCATTGTTTACTATTATTTTAATTTATAAAATTGGCGCCTTCAAGTTCAACTGCAACTCAAAGTAAAATCGTGTGAGTTTTTTTAGACGGACGTGGGATACTGCTCCCGTGGTATGGTTGTGGCAAAAAAAAAAAAAAAATTTTTTTTTTTTAAACATGGCGTCCGAGTATTCGCCTGTAAGCCTGGGAGTGTACTCGAATACCTCCTTGATATGAATATAAGTTTTAAACATCTCAGGACTCATTGTACACATGTACATGCATAATGCATACCTACTGTAAACGTTAATTTTTTTGCGCTGAGCGACCCCAAAACATATTTGCGGGTTCTTAAATTCGCGTTGCAGGCAATTCAGCCTGTTCAAAACATGCAGAAGAAGTCACGCTTGTATTTTGTGAGTTCTAAAATTCTTGGCCTTTTGGGGGAAATGTAATAATTTGGTTCAGGTGTCCGTCTCATCGGTGTGTCTATGGTATCAGTCCCTTCCACTATACAGGTTGAGTGAAGTAATTGTTCCTGCATGACTATCATTGTACAATATTTCTTTGTGCAGAGTTTCCTCTGGTGAGAATGAGGCCTTATACATGTACATGTACATATAACGATACAATACAATAACGTACATGTAGGCCTGCATGGTGGCCACAAACCACCATGATAATCATACAGCTTCCCCCTGGGATTCCAGGGACCTATAAAGGAATTAGGAAAGTCTATCAATTGAATATTTCCTCTATTGGTCTATAATCCCACTATAAGGGCCTCTCAACAGCTCTTTCATAATCACTACCAAACAGGGTCAATGTGAAACTAACTATCTGATCGTATCATTGTACCCTCATGTTTCATTAAATTATAGGATGATTATGTAATCAGAAAAAAAACATGCTAGTTATTTCAAATTAAATTCAGTATTTGCCAAGTACCATGCAAGTACCTAGTGCCAAGCAGAAGGACTGCGCAGATATTGCAAAATTTTGCAAGGGGTTCAATTCACGAAAGTTTCATGCCGCATGATAATTGAGTCACAGCTGCAATATGACACAACATAAAAGGTCACCGTTTGCAAGTACAGTATTGCTCGAAATAAAGTAGACAGATTACCGCCGGGTCTCGCGGGAATCAATCCAAGATTGAGTCCCGCGGTACTCCCGCGGTAACTCTTCCCTGTGCGGTACACAAATGGCGGTAATTACCACGAAAATGTACCACGAGATTTTCAAGAAAATCTCGTAATGATCACCATCACGTACGTCACTCCCTTTGTCATGTATCAAACGGAAAGGATTCGCACGTCGCTTTGCCATACTTGTTTAATCACTTAAACGATGAATGACGCCGGGAGAAATGCTTTCATTCCTTATATTTCTGTCGACGGCTAAGGTTGTGATCGCGCCGCGCGAAAACGTGGGCTTATAAAAATTAGCTGACCAGTTGATGCTCGCCGGCGGGCGGCGTCTCCAATCGCCTCGATCAGCTCAGTTACTGATGTTGGAGTTGGAGAAGCATGATCGCACTCAGAAATGCTCTATCTTTCATGGTCTCAAACGGCCTTTGTCATTTCTTGATAGCACTGTCCATGAGTTTGCATTGAAAATCATGTTTCTTTAAAAAATAAAAAAAATATTGATTTGTAAAGATTGCCGATAAGCCAATTCAATTTCTTTCGCATGCCAAAGCACAACGAACTCTCCTAAAATTAGGCTCACTACCCCCAAAAAGAAAGAACAAAAATTAGTGCTCACCCCCCTCCCCCCTCCCTCGAAATATCGATCGGCGCGATTTTCATATTTCAACCTCCTCTATTGGAAAATCCTGGATCCACCCCTGATTACATCACCAAAGTCAAAGCAAGGAACCTGAATGAGACCCTACAAAAATTTGCCACAGACCGCGAACAGCATTTTCA